CCCACATTTTATTTACAATACAGCACAGAAGAAGATATCAAATGTTTAAACAAAATATGAGCTAATTCTGAATTTGATGGCAGCAACAAATCTAGAAAAATTGGGGCAGGGCCATGTTTACTACTGTGTAGCATTCCCTCTTCTTTTAACAGCAGTCCATAAACATCTGGGAGCTGAAGAGACCAGCTGTGGGACTTGTTGGAATGTTGTCCCATTCTTATATAGGATTCTAGCTGCTCAACAGTCCTAGATCTTCTTTGTCATGTTTTTCACTTCATGATGCCAGATGTTTCCAGTTGGTAAATGTTTTGAACTGCAGTTCAACACCCAGACTCTTCTGCTATGAAGTCATTGTAATAGATGCAGTGTGCAGTTTAGCATTGTTTTGCTGAAATGTGCAAGACCATCCCTCAAAAAGACATCACCTGGTACAAAGTTTCTCTGGAATCTTTCTAGCTTTGCAGATGTGCAAGCTGCCACTTTTGCTATTGCACTCCCTGCAGGATTTTGGAATGAGTGAAACAAGACAGATGCTCCCTCTCTTCTTCGCTGCAGAGATTTTGGTGTCCATTTTCTCCAAAAAAGAAGTTAAAGTCTTGATTCATCTGAACACTGAACAGTTTTCCACTTTTCCTCAGTCAGCTTTAAAGGAGTTCTGGCCCGCAGGAGGTGGTTTATATGCATGCTTCAAAATATAGGAGATGTAGGAGAGAAAAAGAAAACAGACACACCTATTTTATCAGAACACAGTGGCTGTAGATCTTCAGTGACTCATAAAGTTTTCTCCATGTCTTTGTCCTTGACCCCTAACCACTCCCCAGGTTCACTGTTTTGCCTTCAGGCTCTCTGAAGATCACTGATGTGCGCCTGATTGATAGTAAACTGTACACCTGCACTGCGGAAAACCCAGCAGGCAACGCGTCCCTAAGCTACAATTTACACATTCAAGGTAACTCAACAGGGTTTCAGTAAAAGTTGAAGTTTATGGAAACTTGTTTGTTCAGCCAATATCTTTAAGTCTCTGTGTGAATATATCACTTATATGTGAGACGTGTGTATGAATACAGTTCCAAATATTTTTGCACATAGATTTTTGCTACTTTAAAGCCATTTACCATGACATACTCAAGTTACAGTTTTATGATGGGCTGAAAGCTGCTGTCGTTTTTTTAAGAGCTTCAATATTGCATTAACAGCTGGGGAATTTCATTCGTTTTTATGCACAGTTCTCTATGTTTTTTTCATTTCAGGTTTGACAGTTGATGCGAAATCAGTTGGTTATCGGTAGTTGTGGGCCATCCCTTTGTTATTTCTTCATAAATTTAGCAGGAAAAAGGAACTGGAGATTATTCAGAGCTACAGCATGGACAGCCTGTAACTTGAATATGATAAAGTTTGTGTCAATGTTCGAAACTATGTGCATCTAATATTTAGGATATTTGTTTTGTCCTCAGCTAAACCCAGGATTCTGCCAGCACCCTCCCTCCTGAAAGCCCTGCTTGGCCAAACAGTGACTCTACCATGTATAGCGCAGGGAGAGCCGAGCCCTGAGATCAGCTGGTTTCGCAATGGATCACCTGTTGGGGACAAGAATGTTACACCCCTGAGGATCCAGCAGGTCAGCCACGCCGACCAGGGCGCCTACCGGTGTGTGGCCTCGAACAGTGCAGGACAGGAGACCTTGGAGATCAAGCTGGAAATTCTTGGTGAATGTCACGAGTTCAATTCCTCAGACGTGCTTGTTCACTTGCAGAACTATTAAATTGTGACTCATGGTTGTTTTCTATGATATATCTGAATAACTATTCACTATCACTGGTCACTGGTCAAGGTTCACTAATGATGCATCTGTTTTCGGCCCTCTCAGCGTTTAGAGGCACATTCACTTTAGGCGCACATTGACCGTACAAACTGCCAAACAGTGAGCTATTTGACCTTCTGACAAACATTCACAAAGGGAGATGACTTCGGGTTAAGAACTCAGACTCGTGTCCATTTGTACTGAATCAAGCTTTCTTGTTGTTATTTACGTGATATATAAATAATATTATTCTTCCCGATCAGTCCCCTTTTATATTTCCATGCCCTTGTTCCTCTCTGACACGCGCTCTTACTCATCTGCAGTCTGCCTTTGATGCTTTCCCAGCTTCCCTACTTAATCATTTACTCATTTTCAACATCAAGGGGATCAAGCGCACAGGGACATTCTAACCTCTCCTAAACCAAAACTCATCTTTTAAAAGCAAAAAAACTGGATTTTCCCATTCTTCTTACAGATGTTCAGGCTTTAACAGCTGTTGTTTCTTTTTGCAGCAACCCCTGTAATTGCTTTGATTCTCTCTATTTCACGCTTGACTTGTTGGTTTCAGTTTGACTTACATGTGCCGTTTGTGTGGTCCTGTCACTTTGTGTTGCCTTTTTTGGGGTCTCTCTCTTAAAAAACGATCTCGATCTCAATATGACTGTCTGATTAAAGAGATAAGAAAAAGAGGTCAGCCTGGCTCAGGCTGTCAAAGCATGATGCACGCTCTGGTCATTGGGGAGAATCTGTTCGGTTTTTCAAATCATGTTTAGATCCAATTGAGGCTTCTTCTTACTCTGAAACCTAAAAACTAATTGTCATTGCACCTCTTATTTATTAGCTGCCCTTGCACTTTGAACTAGCACTTAACATATTTTTCTGTACTCACAGAGGCCCCGTCCTTTGCCGAACCTGGAGATGTTATCATGGAGAAAGTGGCAAACAGCAAGGTCATCATCCCTTGCCCCGCTAAAGGTATGGAAGGATTCACAGATGAGTCAGCATGGACACACTAAAAAGGTGTAATTCAAGTTTTGGGGAGCCTGAAACTGAACTCTGTCATCTTTCAGGTTTGTTTCTGTAACACAGCAAGGAGGAAAAAAAGAGAGAAATCAATGTTGTATGTAGGACAGTGATGTGTTTTTGTGCGCAATCAAAAGAATGTTTCACTGTCACCACAGACTCCTAGTTGCCATCTTAAAAGGAGAAGCTTCTTTTCACTGCAGCACCCGGAGGCATGCCGTTGTCTCTATTTCCCAACATCCATTTGCGAACGAGAGACATTCTGTAGGGATGTGGAGGACCTGCTGTTTTATCAAAACGCGGCAAGCGTCGGTGTCGCGTCTCCGTCTGGACTGACGGCTACTCAGTGGCAGGCCGCGCAAACAGGTATTGTTTGTGTGGAGCTGTGCCATGGTAACCAGCTCAATGAGAGGAGGTGAGCACTGCGTATAATGTGGAGCAACAGCTGGAACATCAGTCTGCCTCCTGCCTCTGTGAGCCACATCTGCTTTCCTGTGTGTCGGACCTGCTGGGAGCGGAATCCTAATTACAGGCTGCTTCTGGCAGATAAAGGACAGAGATGTCTGAGGTGCGCCGTGAAGCACAGGAAGAGAAAGACGAAGCCTCGCTGGCCTCACCTTTCTTCTGAGTCATACGGACGGGTTGACAGTACCAAGCACAGAAATACAGAAATGCTTGATGCTCTTGACGGGCCAGAGAGGCAGTCAGCCTGCAGCACCAAACGAGGATCCCCACTTTCTTTGGTCCTTTTGTTTTCTTTGAGATCTATCTGCACGAGGGGTAAAAAGCACAGTCTCTGCCAGAAGGAAATTATTAATTCACCAACAAGCACATTGCATTTGATATAGGTAATTATTGGAGAAACACATGGAAGAGATAATCTCAGACTTCGTCAGCCCCGGTAAATAAATTCAGAGCCTGCTAATGAGATCTGTTAACATCTAAAACACAACATCTGTATGCATTTCCCGCAGCAATGAGATAATGAATTTGCTTCAGAGCTTTTTAACTGTAAACACGTGTTCTGAGAGGAAACAGACAGTAACGTCACCTTTGGTTGTGTTGCGTCTTCTCCTGCTTTTTGGGGGATGGAGAAGGAAGGGTGCTGCGGTTGATTTTTCAAGTGGTGTTTGTATATGTGACACCTCTGTAAATCGAGGGAGTGTGGCTCTGTGCTGCTCTGTTAGTCTGTTAGGGAATCTGTTGTGGGGATTTTTGGGGGGTTACAAAGCTTTTTAAAATTCTCCACCTTGTCCCTGATCCAGTTTTCTTCTGTCGGGCATTTCTAGCTCTATTTCCACCCAATAATCCACCAAACACATGTGTTTTTAAGGCTCCTGAGGAAACACGCCAGTGTCTTTGAACCACTTGTTCAGCCACTATCTTTCTTACTGCTCTTACTCTCTCTACTCGCTCTCATCCCAGTGTTTAGCAATAAATCTTTATGTCTGCATTTTAAATATTAAATCCTCCGTCACTCCTCTATGCAGTGTTTTACTTTTTTTTTATGTGACTTTGGCCTTGAAATCTTAAGCCTGCAGGCGACAAGGACTCTAACCATTTTGGCATCCACTCCCTGCTGTCCTGCTGTCTGATAAATGTAGAGAGCTGGCTTTTTTGTAGTCTGGGCTGCTTGCCCGTTAAGTTATCCTGCACAGAAGAAGAGAGATGGAAGTAACTCTTCTTTCTGTCCGATATGATCAATAAAGCTCATTTTAACCTCACTCGCTTTTCTTGTCGCTGCACCTGCAGGTTCGCCTAATCCCAAAGTACGCTGGTTCAAGAATGGCCTGGAGATACACCCCGAACAGCCCGACTTTTCCGTGGCGAGGGATGGAGCTCTTGTAATTAGCGCAGCGTCTGCCAGCCACAGTGGGGACTTCAAGTGTGTGGCAGTTAATGAGGCAGGCTCTGTGGAGAGAAAGACCAGGCTAAAAGTGAATGGTGAGAACTTATCTCATGGCTATTTTCCTGCTGTTAAAAGTATATTTTACACATAACGATGGTCCATAAACCTTTCTTTCTGTGCTGTCTTAGTTCCCCCTGAAATTCAAGATAATGGCCAACCGCTGAACCTCACTGTCACCTTGAAGCAGCCTCTCACGCTGGGATGTGACGCCTTTGGGATCCCCTCTCCAACAATCACCTGGACTAAAGATGGCAAAGCTGTGAGTGTGTCATCCTGGATTCCCATTTACAGAAAAATCTAAAAGCCAGGTTACATGTTTTTACTGTAAATGCTACCTTGTCCATCTCTAGCGGTACAATGCCACCAAGTGGCAATTATTTCAATAACATTTAAACAGTGTGGATGCACTCAAGCTGAATTCTGTGTGTGCAGGTGGACAGCCCTGGGGTGTATCTTGAGAATGGAAATAGGCTGCTCAGAATCTACAGAGTTCAGCCTGAACATGCAGGACAGTTTGTCTGCACAGCTCAAAACTCAGCTGGAGAGACCCAAAGACAATATAACATAGTGGTGCAAGGTGAGCTCATTATAAACCTGCTTTCACATGGATATTTAAGAGGAAGGTATAGGGCGGCAAGAAAGACCAGTTTGGGAATCTGTGATAAGATACACATTCAGCATTCATTCTTAATGCAAACTAGTCATTGAGTATGTGGTGTTTTTTGCCAGCACCACCTGTGATCTCAGGAACGTCTCGAATGCAGGAGTTAACTGTGGTACTGGGCCAGGAGGTGGAGTTTCAGTGTCGGGTTAGTGGAAAGCCAGCGCCAAGAGTGGAATGGAGCCGCGACGGAGAGTACGAATCTCTTTTATCGACGTGACATTCAGCAGCGTACACAGAATGCAGGATTCACTGAATTGATTCGATCATCCTTTCCGTTCTTTCTCCAGGGTTCTGTCCCGCAACGGAGACCCTCATGTGGAGTTTCTGGAAGATGGCCAGGTGTTGAAGGTGAAGTCAGTAAGACCGAGAGACCAGGGTCTTTACCGGTGTCTGGCCAGTAACGACGCAGGAACTCAGACGCGCCAATTTAGACTCAACGTCCAAGGTTGTTTTGAACATTTTTTTTTTTTTTTACAAAATGTAAACCTCCAACTACACTCACCTGAATTCAACAGCAGTTATTGATTTAACACCTATGAAAAAACAAAACAAAAAACAAAACAGTTGTATAGATTCAGGATATTACTCTGACATTTTTCCCTAAATTGCTGCTGTTATGGCAACACTCTGAGAAAGAGAATTGCGAGGCATCATATATAATTCATGTGAATGCCCAGCCTCTATAGTAACATACGTTAACATTGTATTTAGCCATGTGGATGTGCACATATTGAATTCTCTTTAAGGGGACATTTCTCTGTCAGGTGCAGTAATAGCCCAGAGTACCACACGCTGCATTTCTCTTTTAGAAGGTTTCCTACACAAAAGCAAAGCATTCGCCTGTTGCTGTGTTTATGCTGTACTGTGTGCCAGTAAAAATTGATTTGGCTGTTAAACATAAACGTGTTCTCTGTTTTTTACTCCAGCCCCTCCCACTATTAAGGGGACTACTGAGACATCAGAGGTGTCAGTTGTGCTGGGTTTCCCTGCAATCCTCCCCTGCAACGTCGAGGGCTTACCCACACCCAGCATCACCTGGCTCAAGGACAATCACCCCATCGTATCCACTCCTCAGCTGACATACACCCGCGGTGGGCTGGCCCTGCGGCTGGGTTCGGCACAGGGAGACAGCAGCGGCCTCTACACTTGCAGGGCTACAAATCCAGCTGGCACTGCCATCAAGCACTATTCACTCAGTGTTCTGGGTAAGAGACATGTGCATCTCTAGCAAGGTGAAAGCTCAAAGAGAGATTTGATTTTTAATGTTTTCATCTCTTTAGTCCCACCGCAGATAGAAGGAGACTCTACCTCCCTGACGTTTGGTGGTCAGGAACAGAAAGTGCGGATCAACGGGAGCTTAACTCTGTCCTGCCTCGCCAAAGGTTTCCCCGAGCCCAAAGTCCAGTGGTTCAAAGACGGACAGGTCCGTGTGTGTCACCGTTAAAAGCTGTGCTTCCTAAAATCAAAATGTGTTTTCGATGGAACAAATTCTAACCTCTGCCAGCCTCTATTGGCAACTGGTATGAATTACAGCAACCCTCTTGCACAACCCACCTCCACTCGCCTTATTTAGTGTGATGAGTAAGCCAGTTAATTATAGACATAGAGGAAGAATCCGGTGATTAAACCTCAAGACATAAAACACTGTGCGATTTCTTTTTTTGTTTTTTTCTTGACCTACTGTGTTTTGATGTGCTGTGTCCTTTATTCTGTTCAGTATGCGAGTGCGCGTGTATGAATATTCTGCAGGGCCTACAATATAAGAAGTAGGAATTGGATTAAAGATGATGTAAAATATGATTTTCTTTCTGAGTGTGGGTGGAAGCTCTGTATGTCTTGGGTGTTTTTAAGCCACATTTAAAGATCTGCTAAATATTTTCTTGACACAGTAGTTCAAAGAGGCAACAAATCTTAAGGAGGCTCCATCGAGCTTAAAGAGCACTTTTGAACAAAGTATCAGAGACAGTCTGTTTTATTTATTCATCAACCCACAGATTCCTGCGAGCAATACTTCACATTAACTGTGTATTTTCTTTGTGTTTTAGCTGCTGACTGGAAACATCCACGCTGGCATTAAAGAGAGCGGCCACTTCCTGCACATAGAGAATGCCATGCTGTCCCACGAGGGTCAGTACACCTGTGTGGTCACCAACTCTGCAGGAGAGGACAAGAGACACTTTCGTGTAACTATTCAAGGTGTGTTCGGTTAATTCAGTGTATAGCAGCTAGAAAAACACTTCATTTTAAACCTTTGTATAGAAAGCAATCCGGCTCTAATGTGCCGCTGTCTCTTTAGTCCCTCCGATTTTCCACCGGGTGAATAACAGGGAAGCATCCTGGGGTTTGGGACACGAAGACGACGTTAATGATGAGAACGTGGTGGAGAAGCGGGAAGTTGTGCTAGGCCATCAAATCAGCCTGTCCTGTGAGAGCAATGCCATTCCCCCTCCCAAGCTCAGCTGGTATAAAGACGGCAAAAAGTTAACCTCTGCAGATGGAGCGGTGCTTCTTCCAGGTCAGGGAAAACTCTGTAAAACCTCATGTAAAACCACTACTGCAGTTGTTATGTGTAACTGAGGAGTCATTTTTAATGTATGACAGGGGGACAAGTGCTACAAATTGCCCGAGTGCAGAAGGAGGATGCTGGAAGGTATACGTGTCAGGCCGTTAATGAGGCAGGGGAGGATCGCATGCACTTTGATCTGGAGATTCTAGGTAAGTGAGTACATATACCTAAGTTTGTTGTAATTAAAATGTTTGCATAATAAAATCTGTGATTATAGAGATGTAACTTAATAATTTCAGTTGTGTTTAACTTCCATAGTCCCTCCTGTTATTACTGGAGCATCAAAGGAGTTTATGGAGGAGATAGGAGCAGTGGTTAACAGCACCGTGGTTCTACACTGCGACGTGATTGGACACCCAGCTCCAGTCGTCTCCTGGCTGCGAGAAGGGCAGCCGGTGCACACGGACTCACAGCACCACATCAGTGAGGATGGGACTCAGCTTCAAGTTAGTTATCGCTGACCTTTGTGCACCGTTGCCAGCAAATAGACAGATCCGACCGTAACGTTCTGTAGTGAAGAATAACGCTTGTGTCCTAACTTACAGCTTCTCAGTGTCCAGGTTTCAGACATGGCTGGGTATTCGTGTGTAGCGGAGAACAAGGTCGGAACAATTGAGAAGCTCTTCAGTCTGACAGTGCAAGGTAAAACAAAAAAACAAAAAAACCCCCCAAAAAGTCTTTACTGTGATACTGTGATATGCAACTCTCTTCTCTTCTTGCAGTCCCTCCTAGAATAACAGGCCCTAAAGAAGAGGAGGTTAGTGTGACTGAGGGCCACATGGTGTCTTTGCTGTGTGACGTCCAAGCATACCCTCCTCCAGAGATTACCTGGACCAAAGATGGGCAAGTCCTCCATTTCAGCACCAGCATTCACATTCTGCCAGGTTAGCCTCTGGGCCATCTTCAATACCCAAATCCTTCAATCAGAAGCATTATATTGGGTAGAATCTAATTCTTGCACTGATATTTCATATCATTATTTGATATATTGCCTATATATGTAATAGGTGGCCAGATGCTACAGTTGCTGCGGGCCAGACTAGAAGATGCAGGGCAATATGTTTGCACAGCCACCAACTCAGCAGGGCAGGACCAGAAGAGTATTCTCCTCAGTGTTTATGGTGAGCAAACACACTGTGACCCATCTGCACAATTCAGCCACATATACAGATGATCAAATCCCAAAACACTGCCTGGCAAAAAAAATCTGTTTATCTCAAGCCAGCTGTGACTGAGAAGAGTTCAGGAGTGACTCATTCGAATTCTGAATGAATCAAACTGAGATCATGTCCTCTCTAAATGTGCAAACCAACAGTCGTGCCCACCCTGAAGCCCCGGCACGATGCTGAGTCGGACTCGGTGACCCCTCAGGTTGGCTCCTCAGTCACCCTCCGATGCGAAGCCCACGGCTTCCCCGTGCCTGAAGTCACGTGGTACAAGAATGGGCTCCAGTTGGCTGCAGGGAACGGACTAAAGATGGATCAGTACCAGCTGGAGATAATAGGAGTCCAGGTCAGACTCATCAGACATTTTTTATGACTGCAAACAAAACATAAAAAAGGATTTTAAGGGGTTTTCAACAACGTGCTGATGTGTAATGTATACATATTTTCACTGCACTCACTGTTCCTTTATCTGGTGCATTTAAAACTCCTGAGATAATTCTGACTAATTCTAACAGGCTGGAGCTGAGATCACCCATCTGAATGCATTTGAAGCCGGTGTTCCAAAAAAAAAATAAAAAATCATGAATCTCCTTGGATTATAACTTGTAAAGAAAACACAACTCACAATTTTTTCCTTTGTGGTTACTAGATGGGAGATAGTGGCACGTACACTTGCAAAGTGTCCAATGTGGCTGGACAGGCGGACAGAACCTTTAGGCTGATGGTTCATGGTAAAAATCACTCTGTAGTATTTTGGAACAAAATCGCTATAGACAAATGTCTTTAATGGACTAAATTCTCATAAATATATATTGACAGTTCCACCTGTCCTGAACGGACCTCTTCGAGAGTCTCTAAATTATAGCCTGGGCTCCCACGTGGCTCTGCTGTGTGAGGCCACAGGAGTACCCATTCCCAGCATCTCTTGGCTTAAAGATGGAACTCCTATTGGTAAGTGGGAGGGAGTGACATGGAAATGTGGCGATATGCAGACGTGCCAAAGGGTGTCACAGCTAGATTAAGTGGATCTGTGTGGTTTTCAGAAAGCAGCCTGCAGTGGCAGTGGTCTGTTCGAGGCACCAGGCTGGAGCTGGGGCCTCTCAGCCTGTCTCACGCTGGAACATACACGTGTGTGGCCAAGAACAGCGAGGGAGAAACACGAAAAGAGTACACAGTCACCGTGCAGGGTAACAAGGTTTCTTAAAGCATGAGTTATGAGAGAAATGATTCCAAGAAGTGTTTAACAATAATCTCTGCCCTGCTCAGTCTCCCCAACCATCCTGGACTCTGACCTCCCATCTGAAGTGAGTGCACCCAGAGGAGAGGAGCTGACCCTGGAGTGCAGAGCAAATGGAAGCCCCACACCTCGCCTCAGCTGGCTGAAAGACGGAGTGACTCTGGAGGGATCGGATGCCCGTCACATTGCGTAAGTCATTCTCAGGCCCTGCTCTGTCAAGTGTGAAGTAATCATAACAATGGTAAATATTTGAATCGATGAGCAGCCTTCATTAAGGGTTTGGGAAAGTGTCACCGTTAATCAGAAACACAGAGAATGATGTGCACGATGAACAAATGGTTTATAGTGTCTTGCCCAGTTAGATCATGAAAAACTGTACAAGCAGCTGCTTCACAGCTGTTCGCCAGCTTATGTGGTCATCAGACAGCAATCGACTGTGTTTATGTATCTGCATGCGACTGTGAGAAAACTGTGGGATGTGGGTGATAATGAAAGAATCACACCGAGGTTCAGATGTGGACAAATAATAGAGAAAAATGGATGTGAAAACAAAGCGTGCTTGTTTTCTGGCAGCGTGACCTCTGATGGCAGCACACTGACTTTGCTGCGCCTGAGTCCTGAGGATTCTGGGACGTACACCTGCCTGGCTGTGAATTCGGCCGGCCAGGAGAGCAAAATCTACACCGTCTTTGCTCTAGGTTGGTTTTTCACCCCTTCGCTTTGTTTATCTGCGTTAAGTTTCTGAGCGATTTCTTCACAGTCTATTTCATCTGTGGCAGTACCGCCATCTATTTCTGGTGAGACCACCATCCCCAAAGAGGTGCAGGTCACGCAGGACAGCGCCGTGACGCTGGAGTGTCAGGCAGCAGGAAACCCCCCGCCTCAGATCAGCTGGCTGAAGAATGGGCATCCGCTGCTCCTCAGTCCCCGCGCTCGCCTCCTCTCCGGTGACTCTTTGCTGAGGTCAGTTAAGATGATTACAGACTGTGTTGTAAAAAGATTACAGGTTGGTGGATGAGGTCAT